TGACAGGATCCATACTCTCAGTTTTCAGTGTATTGATAGCGGCAGCATCTGCACCCAGTCCTACCAATGCATTACTTATATCCTGCCAATAAGTATTAAATGTTGCATCATCCACAGATGCCTCGCTGGCATTTCCATAGACATGGTTCCTATAATACTTAAACCTAGCTATGTTGGCTTCAACACTCGTATCTGCAGAAGGTGGGAGATTATCCCAACCAGTGGTTGGAGGAATCAAGCCACATATATTCCTTAAAAGCAAGATGAGTAGTGTGACATCAAAATCTTTCGAAGATACGGATGAAGGTGAAGAGGGATACAGCTTGTCCCATTGAGTGGCATTGAGAATTCTCTTCCTTCCAAGTGACTGCAGTATTGGGTGTGCAGGAGGCTTTGTAAGAACTCCATGTAGGCCTGCCGGTGGGTGAATACTATCAAACCTGTTTCTTAATGCGTGGGATCCTACATCCACAAGAAGACGACACAGACGAGCATAATTTGTTGTCTCCTTGGTGGATGCATATAATGGTCTGCTAGAAGCCATGTTGATTATTTCGTTAGCTGAGAATAAACAAATAAAAAATATTCATTATAACAACCAAATATTCATTATAAGCAACCACGATGCAGCCTAGGGAGTACTCCTGGGAATTCTTGGTGGGGTGTGCCACCCAGTTCTTCAAATTCTGACCCTATTTCAGACCAAAAAATGTCATTTACCACACCTGTTTTCACACCTGGCCTCCAAAATCCATACCCATTTCCAGACCTTGAGTTGGTCACAAATGGAACATACATGTTTACAAAGGTATAAATTACATAATCATTGCTTAGATTAGAAGGCCAACAAAAAGATTTCTTAAAATCCATTTCAAATTTGCACAATACTCTTTCTTTCTAATTATTTTGGAATTGAAACGACAAATACGTTTACCACTCCCGTAGTTCCCTCAAAACCACTGTTTCTAGACCAAAATCGGCAAAGTCTACACCTGTTTTCAGACTGAAACACCACAAAAACCAGACCCTTTAGGGCCGCACATACCTGTTTCTGTTTTATATAAGGGAGTTCCCCCTGGAATAGTCAAGTGACAAATTGCCTCACCATAATAACTAGCATTAATCAACATTATACAGTTTTCTGAGTTAAAGCAGGGTTAGGATGGATGTATCAAAAGAAAAAGATAAGTAACTGCATTGCTGTAACTGTTTTTTAGAAAGTTTACTTCAGTCAAACTGGATTGAATTTAAGCAAGACCCCCATAGTGGGGGCTCATTAGGATGCTGACTGCGCAATGCAGTGTTTCAATATTTTGGGAAGTACAGATTATAATTACACATTTTTTCCAGATTGAGAGCATAGCTGCTCCTAATTGGTGGATTTGAATAGATATATATCACGCGATCATATTGTTCATGTAGACCCTAACGCGTCAGTGTTAAAATGGAATTTCACTGACGAGTGGGTCACCTTTTCGGTAGCCTACGAAACAGATTTGCATTAAACACCCATGCACTCAGGATTTGAGTAGTTCACCTACTGGTTTATATATAGACTAAGTAACAATAAGGATATAATATTAAAACTGGCGGATAAGGGTGGACCCACAGTAATTCTCAACACAGGGAATTACATTACGAAAGCCATGCGGCAATTAAACAATGAGGAGTATTACAAGAGAGTAGAAGAAGACCTGACTTCACAACACGAACAATCGATTAACCAATGTATCAGCGACTGATAAATAATGGTGACTTAGATATGGATACGGGCCAGCTTTTAAGACCAGCAAACTCAAGAACACCAATTTTTTACATGCTTCCCAAAATCCACAAACCCAATAATTCGGGACGACCTGTTATCTCTTCCGTTAACAGCCATACTGAGAAACTATCTGCATATGTGGATGAGTTTCTAAGACCCTTAGCACAAGCACTACCTTCTCAAATCAGAGATACTACAGATTTCATCATACGACTGAAAAACTTGGGTAGAGTTCCTGAGAACAGTATTCTCGCGACATTAGACGTTTCCAGTTTATACACTAATATAGACACAGACGATGGACTTGCTATAGTTGAGGAGGAACTGGCAAAAACTGGCCAGATCCAACCTTCCGCAAAAACCCTTACTTGCCTCCTCGAAAAAGTCCTCAAATTGAACAATTTCACATTTGACAACTACAATTTCATCCAGGTTAAGGGTACAGCAATGGGCACTAGGGCTGAACCTAATTTTGCGAACGTGTATATGGGCCGGTTTGAAGATACATTTGTATTCCGAACGGAATGGTCCCACTAGATAATTGACTGGGTAAGGTTCATCGACGACATTTTTTTCATCTGGAAAGGAGACGAAAGTTCTCTCACTACCTTTATAAAGTACCTCAACAGTGTTGTACCATCCATTAGATCCACCCATGAAATATCTTACAAGTCCGTGAATTTCTTGGATACAAAAGTAATAAAAGATGTAGAAGGTAACATCAGCACAGACATTTTTCAGAAACCAAGGGATACCCACAACGGCAGATCTCATGACTTTGGCAATTGAACAAATCAAACGGAGTAACATGACAATTGAACGGAAAAAAGAAATTCTCCAAGCTAGAGAAACATTTTGGCAAAGTCGGCTGAACACATTGCAACCGAACGGTCTTAATAAGAGAATGGGCTAGAACTCAGAGCCGAATATACCTTTATAAAGTATTTAGTATATAAATAACGTTTTAGAACGCAAGTTATAGAGGTCATTCCACTTTACGCCCACAGGAATGTAATTAATCTATTAGAACACTATTACCGGTCGAAACTAATCAAGTAACGAGTGAGATAATTGAGCACAAAAAGGATTATTTTACAGTCGAACCAGGCCAAGCGTTCCCGTCGCTAAAGGACTAATAAATTCATTAATGGCAAATTGTTTCCGTTCGTTGGTTCGGTAGTTTATTCACGAAATTAATAATGTAATATTCAAATAGAGCCTCGATTCAATAATCGAATGTTGATTGAACTAATAAACAAAAGCCTTGCCATATATGGAGTGCTAGGAAAAGCGTGACCTGAACATGGCGGAGTTATTTATATCTCCGGAGTTAAGTGTGATAGAGCAGGTAAGTTATTCTAAAGTTCAACACGCCATTAGTATAAAATGTTGTTTACTTTTTCTACAGGCGTTGTTCCATACGATTCCTCTGATTCCTATTTGCAGTTTCGATTTGACAACAGTTGTGAATATTTGCGAAAGTGTACCACTTGATCGATCAAGCATGCATGCAACCTTTGTGTATTTCATCATTTCCTCTTGCAGTCTGTAAAAGGCACTAAGAATAACCGTGAACTTTGACTTTTCAGGACAAAATCGTTGTCTTGGTTAAATTGAACGAAGTCAGGAAAATGACGGAAGTCACTGAAAGATCGACCAAGAGAGACTTAGTGGAAAATACATTTGGCATACATGTACAGGGCACTGTTTCGTTGCAGCGTTATGATAAGGATTTGGGAGAGTTTGTGGAAGTCGAAATAAAAGACCTGAAAAACCGAGATAAAATAAAAGTCATGATTTTGGAAAGCTGCTTGCACACCAGAAAACCGTAGTCATGCTGAGCAGTTATGCACACCATTGACAGAAACAAGCAGAGCGACTGTTTCCATTTGTGAAGGCGGTGAAAAGGCCGTTGACAGACTGCTGCAAAACCTTGAAGACCGCAAAAGCTCGCTGGAATACCGTCTACAACTAGCCCAAGCGACTTTAACTTCCTTACAAGAAAAACCACGTACAAGGGAGCCATAAATCCGTCCCAAACTGTTTCGCCTGCCCGCCATTTTTCAACTGGAGCGCGGGAGGAGCGTGGTGTCCATATATGGCAAGGCTTTTGTTTCTTAATCCAATCAACATTCGATTATTGAATCGAGGCTCGATTTGAATATTGCATTATTTATTTCGTGAATAAACCACGGAACCAACGAACGGAAACAATTTGCCATTAATGAATTTATTAGTCCGTTAGCGACGGGAACGCTTGGCCTGGTTTGACTGTAAACTCATTTGCTGTTGCCAACAATTACAATTTTGGCGCGCAATGCGGCCGCGGCCGTCGCCTTTTGTTGCCGATAAATAAAACTTTTGAAGGCATTTGTTTAGCTCTTGGGGGGAAATTTCTTGAAAAAGAGTCTCTTTGTATTTAAAATTATTCTCTAAAAAAGATTTTTAAATTTAGTTTTAAGCTTATTTGTGAGCAAGTCAACTAAATAAAGTAACGCAAGATTTAAGCTTAATTTGCATTTGTAAATAAAAAACTTTTTTACGGGTTTCATCCATAAATTCAAGTCAAAAAGACAAAGCTTTACCCGTTAAAACTTCCAAACCGAACTTCGTCACCTTCTTCGTGTATTTCGGGAACAGCTTGCATGATTATTTGTGAAATTTCTTTGCTTGTTACGACAGCAGTTGGGAAGGCATTTTGCTCGCAACTTACGCGGGTTTTGGCGTCGCACGCTCGGAGGAAGTGGAGGTGAATCAGTGAATAGTGCAGGATATTCACTGACTGAGTAGCCAATCAGAGCGCGCGAAAAACACTATCCACTGGTTTAGTATATACTAAATATATATACAGCATGACAGTATAACATGACATTACTTTTATCTTGCTTTTATTAATATTGTTAACATTTTCATTCTCATCATCACCATCCCCCTCATCATTGTCATCATTATGATCATCATCATCATCACCATCATTATCATAAAACAAAAAACACCTTTCTCACTTTCAAAGTTTTTAAAGTTATGATTAAGTCCTCAGCTTCTATGTTCCAAGATGCGCAGCATAGAAGGAGTGAAAATGATCAGTAATATTTGGTTCATTGGGTCTGCAGTTAAGGTGCAATCAGAATGATATACTTGACTACAGGTGGACCATGGTTCTATAATCGAAAGTGATCATATTCAAATTTCCATCAAGTTGGCGGCAAATCTTCAGAAAGTTTCTTTGATTTACATCAAGGATGAAATTTCTTAGCATAGAAATTTCTTACGATTGCGGTGTCATTAAACGATATCGATTGCGGGACTACCGTCTCTGTAGAAAGCTTTCCTTCTATTAAGCCACAATCGGTAGCTGGTTGAGAATATGCTTGTTCGAGTCAAAAGACCACATAGTTTTTATCTCAGAACCTGAAGCTTTTTTGTGAAGTAGGCAAAGTGGCACTGATTTCAAAGTATATGTTTCTTTTACAAAAACTCATTTTCATAATCCTTACCATTCCCTGGTAAAAGGAAAATAAACCTGAACTAAGGTAAATTTTGGCCTGATGTACAACAAATATTATATTCATTTTTTTTCTCTTGGTGAGGAAATGCTCTGCTCCTTAATAATTAGGAACAGTGAGTTAACTTCCATTTCCTCTTTTGGAGAGATTTGTATTTTGTATTTTTCTTCAGAGGAAGGTTGACTTGCAATTCCCTTTTCTTTTTGTGCGTAAGTGATCACGCCATTCAATATCTTTTAGCATCAGTTGTATCGCTTTTGATCATCTCCCTTTTTGTTGGCTTTTCCTTTGTTTGTCTTCTTTTCACTTGACTTGCTCTTTGCTAATCTAGATCCCAAATTTAACCTACCTAGGGATGATTGCAAATTATTATTTAAGCTATCCTGCCACATGGCCCCCGTATGCAATTTTCCAGTGAGGTACAGCTAGCTTTAATCTCTTAAAATCTTTTATTTACACTATACACCAGAAATACTAAAATCTGTGAATCTTTGGTTACCTTTCGTTTTTGTTTTCTATCTTAAACCTTTATATCATCAGATTTTTCATGGGTGTGATTGTATTATAATTGTACGATGAGTTTCAAAATGTTTATATGAATTACAAATTTATAAAAAGTAATGATAAAACAATAGCAGTAGACTAGTATTTTTCAAAATAAATTTTAATTTAAATTATAAGCGTTCGCAAGAGAAAAAAGTGCAGGAAACAGGAAAAATGCTGAGAAAGTGAAACCGGAAAGGCGAGTATAGCGCTCAAACACGCACAGACAGAAATAGATAGGAATTATGTTTGTTTTAATTTACCCTTGCATCTAAAGAAGTATGCTTGTTGACAAATGACTGCCCTACGTTTTCTCACTGTTTTTCTTGGTGGTGAGAACTAATTGACAATGTTTTCGAAAACAAAAACATTCAAAGGATCAATACTTTTAAACACCAGAGGGAAAAAACTGCAACAGTCCCATTGATAGCGGAGCTCTCGCGCGCGCGAAGCGCGCGCTTGCGGAGCACCATGGGTAAGAAAATTTGGTAAACCATCCATCCGAGAAAATTTGGTTATGACGTAGAGTACGCCCACCCGTACACACACTTCATGTAAGCTGATGTCAACTGTCACATCTTGGAGAAATTGACACTTTGTAAGCCATCCGTATGAGGATGAATTGGCAGCTGTCAAAATCAGACATCCGCTGACAGTAATCACATGACCATCTCGCGGGCTCATATGAAAGATAAGTCGTTTTCTCTACATATAAGCTGACACCAACATAAAAATGAAAATGAAAGGAAACTTCGCTTTCACCAGGGCTGTCGGTTTAAAGTTATACGCACAAGCCAAATTAAGGTCAACTGACAGCTGTCAAAATCGGACATGTGAAGACCACCATCAGATCACTAACAACGTGGGCTCAAATACACGACATTTCGCCCCATTAATCCTCCATTACAACCCAGACTAACACTCGCGGTCAACAGTGCGTTTATTTGAAAATTCGCCATTCTAATGAAGTCCAATTGACAGCTTTCAAACTACAGCATCCGCTGACCATCATCACCTGACCGTGTCGCGGGCTCAGGTATCGGTTCACTTAGTTCGAGGTTTTTTGAAGTTATCCGCTGATAAGTTACTACTTTTCCAATGATTGCAAGCTCAAGTTCAATTTTTTTAACGCGTAGGAAATAGGAAGTTGTGTTTATGAGTCGCACTATTAAACTTTTAATTTCAAACTGGCCTCGGACGCGAGAATTCAGCCAGCTTTTACAGACAGGGAAGTTGCTTTCGACCTTTCTCACCATGGTCACGCGTTGGTCACGTTCTACGTCCAATTTTTATGCTCTGATTGGTCAAAATTTGACAGGTGAGTTCATGCGGAAAATTTATGCAGCATCTTGAAACTTGTTTACTGATAGCTGAAACTGACGGAGTATTGTGTATAAACGTTGTGAAGCTTTTAGCTGTCTTTTTCCACTGGATGCACAAAATGAAATACAGATGCTAGCAAGATTCTTAAGTAATTCATGGCTTGTTTGTTTATTGGTTTTTTGGTTTAGAAATGCGCCGCTTGTCAAAGTCATCGGAAATCCGATTTCGGATGGATCACTTTTACTCACTTCCCCTTGCTTGATGCGTATTATAAAGAGGGTTCAAAAAAGTCTCATGCGATTCTGACGGCCTTCGGGAGCATCTTGACTGGTAAGCCTGATTTATTATTGTATTTGAAGATTTTTTTTTTCTGGTTTCCTAAAGTCGAGCGTAGTTTCTGCGCCTAGTTTATGCACAAGACCATGATCTACAATAGCATCAGGTTTGACATAACCTTACAGATTTTTAAAAAGTTTCAACATTTTCTGACCACAAATACAAAGAAAACGTTGCGAAGAATACAATTTTTTTAGTTATGCTTTTGGCTGTAAAAAGAAAGCTCTGAGCGATATTCTTGCCTCGCGGTTCATCTTGAAGTAAACACCGGGAAGCCGGCTTAAATCTGCAAGGTTTTTGAAGTTTATGAGCTTATGCTCATGATTTTCAGAGACACTTACTGTCAAAACTTATCGTCGTGAATGAAAGTTGTTGTCTCTGTACATGTTTCAACGAGTTATATTTATTTTACTGATGGTTAGTAGTCTCTTTCTCAATTTAATCGGCGCGCAGGTTGTTTTCAGTCGAACGAAAAACAAAACATCGCACACAGGAGTACTCAAAATGCTGCTCGTAAATATCACATAACAAAACCATAAATAAAGGGAAATAAAACCTAAACATAATAAGTTCTCTATCATGTTGAAGCTTAAATGTTCGTAAAAGCGGCTCCGACGCCTCGGACTGCAAATTTGGTGCTTGACAACAGTGAGAAACCGTCCGGCTGGCCGTATAGGTAATTTTGGGAATTTCTTGATCGTTCTCACTAGAAGCCCATTAGTATATTACTCTACATATCACATAGGAGCAGATTTTTTCCGACTAAACAGTCCCGGTATTATGGAAAATTCTCTTGATGAAAACGTTTTATAACGTGGTCAATTCTATAATTTTTTGCTCAAAGGAGCGCGTGCTTCGATCGTCCTCGATATTGAATGAGCTCAATTTGTCTTGCAAACTTGTGAAAAACGGCAGAATTATAGGTTTAAATAGGGCAGGGAAGAAAAACTTTTGTTCCAGGTTTGTATGATAAAAAACAGGCACACAGGCATAGCACTGTTTTCCTCAGATCGTATACATGTATAAAAACACTGATAAAAGGTATATTTAAAAGGCTGGTCTACACACCACCAGATTTGTCGCCAAGATTTACTTGTAAAGTAAACCTCTCGAACATGACAAATCTTTTTCGAAACACAAAAAGACCGGCCTGATTTTTTTTTCTTTTGGCCTTTCCTTTAGACAGAGAATGCAACGTGTAAATTGGCTACAACCGAGGACTCTCTTGTGTTGCATAAAATTATGTTTCGGGGATATCCAGTTATCTCTATAGTAGCTCCAGCGGAGTGGCTGGAGAGACTATGAATTAACCTTATCAAATAAAGGCAGTGTAGGCGGGTGACTGGGTTTAACTTCTTTTGTTTGGGAAGAATTTGTTTTCCAGGCCTAATCTACTGTGATCGAAGAAGATTGCTATTTTTCGGTGTACATATAATAGACTATTAACTCGATGTAAAATTTGTTTCACTCTTGGACTGTCAAATTATTCTTCTCTAAGGAATCACTTTCCCTTAAAATGTTGCATGAATGTACCTTAAAGTTAAATGATTAATGTTTACTGTTTTATTTAAATTATTAATTTATTAACGTGAGCTTCGCTTTTAGCCCTGGCTAAATCTATATATTAGGTCTAAGCTGAATAGTTACTCTGAAACTGCATGGTTGTAACCTGCGCAAGGCAGAGTAGAAAACAACCAAGGTTTCATCACAAACTGATAAAAGTATCTTTTTGTTGCTTTGCTTCCCTAATGATTTTTCCTCAAAAACCATGAGATTAGCGGTGAGAGGCCGTAAAGAAAAGATAAAAATTGTGAGAGTTGGTAAGTCTACTTTATGCATAACAGTGTCACAAGCTTATTGTTATTTCTTCAATCCACAATAATTACTGACTTTTCAAGTTACCTTCAATCTCATCAAGTCTGTCTTTGCTGCTATCATCATCTTTCTTCCACTCCCTCAGTAATTCTAGGTAGTGTTTCTCAATGACAGGATCCATACTCTCAGTTTTCAGTGTATTGATAGCGGCAGCATCTGCACCCAGTCCTACCAATGCATTACTTATATCCTGCCAATAGGTATTAAATGTTGCATCATCCACAGATGCCTGGCTGGCATTTACATAGACATGGTTCCTATAATACTTAACCCTAGCTATGTTGGCTTCAGCACTCGTATCTGCAGAACGTGGGAGATTATCCCAACCAGTGGTTGGAGGAATCAAGCCACATATATTCCTTAAGAGCAAGATGAGTAGTGTGACATCAAAATCTTTCGAAGATACGGATGAAGGTGAAGGGGGATACAGCTTGGCCCATTGAGTGGGATTGAGAATTCTCTTCCTTCCAAGTGACTGCAGTATTGGATGTGCAGGAGGCTTTGTAAGAACTCCACGTAGGCCTGCCGGTGGATGGATACTATCGAACTTGTTTCTTAATGCGTGGGATCCTACATCCACAAGAAGACGACACAGACGAGCAAAATTTGTTGTCTCCTTGGTGGATGCATATGAAGTTCTGCTGGAAGCCATGTTGATTATTTCGTTGGCTGAGAATAAACAAATAAAAAATATTCAGTTTAATTTGGCAACCACGATGTAGCCCAGCGAGTACTCCTGGGAATTCGTGGTGGGGTGTGCCACCCAGTTCCTCAAATTCTGACCCTGTTTCAGACCAAAAAATGTCATTTACCACACCTGTTTTCACACCTGGCCTCCAAAATCCGTACCCATTTCCAGACCTGGAGTTGGTCACAAATGCAACATACATGTTTACAAAGGTACAAATGACATAATCATTACTTAGATTAGAAGGCCAACAAAAAGATTTCTTAAAATCCATTTCAAATTTGCATAATACTCTTTCTTTCTAATTCTTTTGGAATTGAAACGAGAAATACCTTAACCACTCCCGTAGTTCCCTCAAAACCACTGTTTCTAGACCAAAATGGGCGAAGTCTATAGCTGTTTTCAGACTGAAACACCACAAAAACCAGACCCTTTAGGGCCGCACATACCTGTTTCTGTTTTATATAAGGACGGTTCCCCCTGGAATAGTCAAGTGACAAATCGCCTCACCATAATAACTAGCATTAATCAACATTATACATTTTTCTGTGTTAAAGCAGGGTTGGGATGGATGTATCAAAAAAAAAAAAGATAGGTAACTGCATCGCTGTAACTGTTTTTTAGAAAGTTTACTTCAGTCAAACTGGATTGAATTTAAACAAGACCCCCAGAGTGGGGGCTCATTAGGATGCTGACTGCGCCACGCAGTGTTTCAATATTTTGGGAAGTATAGATAATAATTACACATTTTTTCCAGTTGAGTGTATAGCTACTCCTAATTGGGGGATTTGAATAGATATATTTCACGCGATCATATTGTTGATGTAAAACTTAACGCTTCAGTGTAAAAATGGAGTTTTACTGATAAGTGGGTCACCTTTTCGGGGGCCTACGAAACAGATTTCTATTAAACACCCATGCACTCAGGATTTGAGTAGTTCACCTACTGGTTTATATATATATACTTAGCCTTTAAAAAAAAAGAGACCATTGGCATTATTCTTAGTTTGGACATTTCCACGACCCCCCCCTACCCCAATCCCCCCCCCCCCCCCCAAAAAAATGTATATATATGTAACAATTATTCACCGAAGTTAAATTGGCTACTGGCGAAAATTTACGGTACCGCGAAGCGGCGAGGTAAATATGCACCACTAGCCACCGAGCACAAAACCGATCGGTTTCTAGCAAATTCTACCCTGAAAGTAACCACAAAATCGGCGGTTTTTACTGACTGCTTTTCAGTGAAGCTTGCCTCGAAAGTTCCCGCAAAATTCCCGCGAAATGGACCAATTTTTCTGCAAATTTGTCCCCAAAAAATCCCGCGAAATTTGACTTTATTTTCCGTGACCTATCAGAACCCCTGACTAATAGATTAATTATTTCCTGTGGTTTACAGGGCTGTCACTAAGATTTCAACTTGCCTGGTAAATACAACAAGTAGGTGGAGAATCAAACAGCTAGGGATATCTTTTGGTTCTAGTTTCCTTCTATTTCCCAATAAAAGAAGCCGGGGAAAATCCCCGGCCCCTGGCTCTTAATGACAGCTCTGGGTGTGTGCTACTGTAGGCGTACCCTCTGGTAGCCATTGAGGAGACAATTTTTGCGCAAATAATGGATCATGTTTTTAATGGTTCTTTTGAGATCACTGACATCAGTCAATACTTGTGAACATAGGTGGGCGGAAGACCCAGAACAATGAACTGGTAACAGCCCCTTTATTTTCTCTCCTCCCCTGAGCTTGCGCTTCGCATTTGTCTCACACTTCGCGTGAAATGTCAAGTTGGCCTCGTTTAGCTCATAAAGTGCCTATTATGCAAGCTAGGATCTTCCTACCTCACATCTCAGCTAGGAAGATCATAGTAGAAGGAAAATCCTAGCGCTAGGGACAAGTATAAAGTTTGCCATGTAAACTGAATGCAAAACACATATAGTACTAGGCTGATCCACCTTCTAGGATCTTCCTGGTGCAAGGACCTTTCGCCCTCCATGAAAACAGCCCCTTAAACACAATTCCTGAGAGTTCTAAAACTATGAAAACAAATAAACTTTAAAAAGTGTCCATGTACCCCTGTCTGGGCATGAGCTTAATAATTCAAAATAATATGTACAAGAAATATATCTCTTCCATTATTAGGAAGTACTAAAACGAACAACTATTATATCTTTTTCGCGAAGAGACCTCAGATTCCTGCAGTACTTGTATAAAGTTCCATTAAAAATGAAACTTCCTTAAGAGGTATTCGATAACTTCACAAAATCGATAAACCTGCAGCTTAATAAAGAAAATCTTTTGTGGTTTGCCAAAAACTATAAGTAAAAAACATTTCGTTTCATCAATCCAAGTTTTTGTGTGAAAATCAATGACAAGTGCACTTTGGGACTGTTTCGTTGCCTAGCACGTGGGGGAAAGTCTGGTCCTACATTTCACTACAAAGTCACATGAAACTCTGTAATTGGTATATTTAATTTATTGGCTCCTAATTTCGCGATTTTCGTAAGACAGCATTTCGCGAGGTTTTAATTTCGCGATGTCAAAAGGCAAAAGAAGCGTTTAAAATCAAGGTGAAAAGTCGGCTGATACACGAGTTTTCACGATAAGTTTCAGTTGCTGGTTAATGGGACCGACCGGGATTTCGGAACATTGAGTTAATATTGTATTAATGATGTATTTCCCAGTTTATATTAACTTTCAAATTAAAGTGTATTACAAATGGGACTTTTAAAAAAACATTTAGCTGTTTTTAAATTACCGTGAAATTTGTAGGCGTGGACCAAATTACATACAACAATGATAAAAAAGCAGCCGAACGCACGTTAATCAAATTCTAATTTCTCGCAATCGGCCGAAGCAATCCCTTTTTTCGTACACAGTTTCAGATGAAATCAAATCACTATGAGATGAAACTGCATATCCAGACCTCATCATTTTCTTTACATAATAGCTAATTCTGTCGATAGCATGTTTCTTCAACGTTTCTATGACCCTTAAAACCTTCGTTTCAAAATATTACCAAAACCAATTTGTTCAAACTTTGCCATAATCGAGGCAACTAAGGGAGGCACAAGCTCCCTTTTACAAAGACAAGTAAAAAACATAATGGCGTCATTTCTTGCCATGACAACTCCGATGCCAATAACACATTGATCATAAAAAATTTTCGTCTTTATACATTACAGCTGTGGTAACTTTTTTCCGATATCTTTGCTAATGCGGACGTAGTAAATGCTCAAAATGGGAAGCAAAGTCCCTAAAAAATTCAGTCGAGCCACCTTAAACAACGTAACGACGACTGAACAAACAGTGGATTGAAATACGACATACTGATAAATGACTACTTCTAGTACTCCTACGACTGAAGCGTTCCGATATCTCTTTACTCGTACGAGTCGTATCATGAACGGGGCCCTCTCTCTACATTTGTAAACTCTTCCCACAAATTCTAATTGGCGCTACGGAAATGCGATTTCACCAGTTGCACGAATCGCACAAGTCGTACCACTTCCACAGAGCCCCCTCTCTACATCTCTAAACCCTGCTTTTTCCCCTAAAATCCATACTCTCACTCATGTCATATTTAGGTTTTTTTAAAAGGACCGTGGAGAACTTTCATCAGGAGGTGGAGTAGCAGTCTATAAAGCCGCGATGACAAACGTCGTATCGTTTGTGTCTGAATCCTTTTTCCACCAACACTATATTAAGATTCAACATAAAAAATGTGAATCCTTCTTAATGTGTACAGCTTACGGGCCTCAAAATGGGCAAATTGTTTTCTTTGAGGAACTAAAAGCCACCTTAACGGAGTCTTTGCTACTAGGTTTGGATCTGATAGTGCTCAGTGACAGCGGGAATGGCCGAGCCAGGATGGATTTCTGTGGTAATGATTTTAAGAGGAATTAAGGAAACATTTTAGCGAAAATTAAGTGAGAATGGGTGGGGGCGTGTGTGTGTACATGTTATAAATCCTGTCAATTTTTTATATTATTTCTGATCTAATTACTGTACGTGTGCATGTTATACATAATAATAATGAATAATAATAATAATAATAATAATAATAATACAACATTTATAGAGCGCTAATTCCCAATGGTCCAAAAGTGCTTTACATCATAAAAACTAAATAACACATTTAGAGATACCCCTAACAAAAACTAAATTAAAATCCTATAAAACTACATCATCGTTAGGCCTTTCCAGATTCTGCTCGGCAACTTTTTAGCAACTTTTGGGATTTTGAGCAACTTTTTTGTCAGAGAGCAACTTCTAGCAACTGTTCGGAAAACTAGCACTTTTTTGGTAACTTTTGGGCTATTTTGAACCAAAATGCTGAATACCCACCCCCCCCCCTTTTTTTAATAAACAAGTTAAAATTCTCTTGGTTAGAATTCTAAACATCTTTCTAGTAAAACTCATAATTTTACCCTTTGAATGGGTATCATGTGGACGTGGTAATAAATTACAAGAATTGGGTTTGGGTAGCCTCAACCTCGTTCCCAGGGCTTTTCACTTCTCGTGGGGGGGCGCCCCCCACGAGAAGGGAAAAGCCCTGGAAACGAGGTTGGAGTAGCCTGTGGACTGGGTGTAAACCACAGGTGGCCCAAGCGTAATATGAGAGTTTGTATGGGAAAAATAGAGTTTGGAACTTAAATAAATGAAGTAAAAGCGACAAAAGTTATCAATAAAGTGTAAATATTGTTACCTGGAGTCGTTGTCTTTGTTTTTACGAAGTTTCAGCGCGATTTGAGTTGCATCATCTGACTGTGTGTAAACAAAATGGCGGACGCCACGTTGTCTTCCAGATTGTTACACTTACTGTCTAACTTTTTGTAACTAGCCACTTAGATTCAACTAAAGGTTGCCTAATTTGTTGTAACTAGTTCCTTAGTTGTACCTTAATGTTGATTACAAAGCAATTGTTATTAAAATTAGACATGCTGTCTGAAACATATTCGAGCAACTT